GGTATCAGGTGAAATGCCTAAATAGTATTAATGTGCATTGGATATTCTACTATATCTAATTTATTTTTGCTCCTTAAACTTTAATGCCAAGCTAATATTCATGCAATAGATAGTACATAGCAAACAAGATAAATATTTTAATTGACAACGACAACATGAATCAATGACCGAAAGTATGTATGTATATTCTATCTATTCAGTTAGAAAAGGAGAGATTTAGATCCAGATTTCTCTGTACTTCTTGCTAATTACTCAACCAATAGTCAGCCTTTAGAGAAAGTGACTAATTTTGTTAAATATCAAAAGCAAGCACAGATCCCATCACTTTCAGTTCCTCTGAGGAAATGAGAATTGGTAACAATATTGATTCCCCCTATTTATCAACATCTAGAGCTTTCCTAATTTCAGAACCACTGCATTTCCAAAAAAGCTTCTATAAGCAATTACAGGGAAAAAAAAGTTCTTCATTCTACAGCAGTGGTGTATATTTGGCTTCTGGGAACTTTACTTATAAATCCACTTGATCTCAGCACCTAAATACTGAGTTGCAATACTGTTATATACCTTTATTGGGGAAAATTTGGGCTCCAGCAATAATAAGAACTATGCTGACTTTCTAGATGGTCCCACCTCTATGCTTCACGGAGAAAAGCTTCAAAGCAATAAAACTTCAACTTCAAATGTTTCTACAACAATTTCTAAAAATTCATTGATCAAAACAAGACTGGATTTTCTACCACACAGATTTGACTTGAAATATACATTCTTTATATAGTATCCGTTTGAACTGTATACTTTTTTAATCTGTTTATTTACATAACAAAACATACAAGAGATATTTGTTAAAAATACAGTTCTGTAATCTAACTTACAACATATCTAAGAGTAAAGTTAGTGTTGGAAATTGGAAACGGTTAGCAGTGGAAGAATTTTGCCTGATTGCAAAGTCTCAAACATCACACTTCTCTTCTGAATTTGGTTAGTGGAAACAGAGGCTCACCATGCAGCACAACACATTAAGACCCTGCACAAATGACATGAGGCTAGCTTGAGCAGCTGAACCCTAAACTGACATAAAAACAGTAAAAAGTCTATAAGTTAAGGTAAGCATGTAAAGGACAGAGTAATGCCAAGCCCAGGCAAAACAGTAGCAACAGTAGGTCCTTGGGCTGGCTGGAGAACAAGAACCGTGGGATGGCGCCCACCTCTGGTGCCAGAACGTGGAAGAAGGCAGGGCAGGTTTTGTAGTTGATGGATGGCGACCAGTGGGCTCGAGTGTGCCGCGCTGCACCAGAACTCAGCACCTACAACACTTGGCTGTCAGGCCTTTACTCATATACAGTGGGACCTCTTCCAACTGATATCATGCAGACACCACAAAGCATGATCATCTTTTTTTTTTAATTGTCACACAAGACACAAGCAACTTTCAGTCTGATTACTTGACTCAGTCATTTCTGACCCTCTAAATCATGGATAGATATCTAAAGGTCCACTGTACATAATAGATATACCTTGCTAATACAATACAAAAAGGTTCAAAGGCAAAGATCTTTAACTTGAATTAAGAAGTTATAAAAGGAATGTCCATTCACATTAAAAGCTGTTTAGCTGACTTACATTTAAAGGGAGCCACTACAACATACCTTCACCTGCCTTATGCCAGGTGACCTAGTCAATATACAAAATAAAAAAATAATATTGCATTACAAATGGCACAAATAAATTCTTTAGTAGTTGCCTTACTGAAGGTTTCGTTAGGATTCATGCTAGGGTTTCACTCTATACTAATACATTAAACACAAAAGACCACACACAAACTTTCATGCCTTCATCAGAATCACATATTCACACAAAATGCCTTACTGGCAGAATACAACCACCACCAAAAACAAGAGTGAATGGTGGCATAATCAACTAATTGTGGATCTTTACAAAAAATAAATAAATGTTAAGAGAAATTAAAAATGCCTTGGTGTGGATTAAAGACCAATCTACTATGCATATTCACATCACAAAAGCTTGGCACATAACTGCAAGTAATTTTCTCATATACAGAAATGGAAATATCTATGAATATCTGAGTAGTTCCACCAATAAGGAATGAGAGAATGAAGAGCAATACTCACCCCAGCCAGCTGCATGTTGAGTTCCTGGTTGAAGGCCGGCTGAGTCGCAAGAGAAATAGGAGTGCTTGGGTGGCTTGGGGCAGACAATGGGGCTGAGAAAGGGGGCACAGTGTGTGCGGGGGGCAGTGAGAGGGGCGGGCATGAGCCACCAGATGTACCTAACTGCTGCAGCTTCCGTGCCAGCTCTGACAGATTACTGTTTGAAGTTATACTACAAGAAAGAAAGAGAATATGTTAATTATGAACTAATTGTTTAGCCTGTATTTGTAATCATACAAAAAACAAAAAGTTCCCCCATCCCTATTCCCTATCCACAAGCTTAAGCCATTAATGCTATCTATGTGCAACCAAAATTCACAAAAGAAAACTACAGTCAACCAGTGACAGTATGTGAACCCAGAAAGAATGATTTGAAACATGATACAGTAATCACTTCCCTCCAGTCATCCTCACCTGTCATATTTCTCCAAAGAATTCTGCTGTGAGAGTCTGGCCTGATGCTCAGCCATGTAGGTATTCTCAGGTGTGCAATGATGGGGGGGTGTTGGGCCGCCCGACCCACTCTGTGAGACGGGTGCCGGGGCAACTGATGTGGTGCTGGCACTGACACTGGCTGCCAAACCATCACTCTGCTGCAAGACAGGAAGGAAGCAGATATAGGGTTAATCAACAAGAATTACCATGCAAAATGTTCTACTCTTCAAATGGGAAGTAGTAAAAATATACTGACTTATTTCATGAATGTTAACTCCTCACTTCATCACAACTACAAAATCTTAAAGAAATTACATTCTTAAAAGGTCTATATAAATATCTAAAAGACTCATTTCTGTACCGAAACACTAGTGCCTGATATTGGCAGTTACTTGAAAAGAGAATATATATATATATATATATATATATATATATATATAATATATATATTATATATATATATATATATATATACGTATGCATACATATATATATAGATATGTACATAGACTGACACAAAGGAAATGAAAATTTACAAAGATATTTAGCAAGCATTAGATTTAATGAAAATTAAAAGTGGTGGAAAAAAAAGGTAAATTAAATATGGAGAACAGAAAACAACTGATTCTGTATTTTCAAAATCATAAATTGATTTCTAAAATGCTTCTAATTTCTGTTATGCAATTACTACTTTTAAGTGAGGGAAGGCAAATTAATTATTAAATTTGTTTTGGCTCGGGTAATGAAAAAGGCTGAAAAACAAGATAAAAAAAAAAAAAATTATTATAGCTGTTATACCATGTTAGGATTTTTTTTTTTGTATTTATCTGCAATAGAATACACACACACACTGATATACACATACATACATAAAAGGCCTCATTCCATACTTTACATCACACCTATATTCATGTACCAAGACCTGCCATATCTTCCATAGATATTGCACACCCATTCAGATCATGTTCACAGTGCCAGCTGGAATATCAGCTGTCTGTGACTTTTATCTTGACTAAAAAGAGTCTACATGAAGTAGCTCTCTCTTTGATGAATACTGTTTTAATGAAGTATTTCTGTACGTTTTTTATCATTCCGGTATGTCGCAAAATACTGTTTGCAGGATGATCTGTTTAAATCACATACTTTTCTCTTTTGGTACAATTGCAGTTTTGCCAGTAATTTTATAACATTTTCTCATTACAGGATATTGACAAAATACTTTGAAGTAATAAATGACTTAGGCAAAATAATTGCCATCACGAATGGCAACTATTCCTGGAACAAAATTTTTTGTGGCAAAAAGTGGAATCAAGTAACAGAACCTCACCTGCAAACAGTGTTTGTGACAATCACTTTATATTAAGACCATCAGCTAAATCCATCTACCAGAAAAAGCTGAACTAATATCTTCACCTAAGACATTCCATGCACTAAAAAAGATCCCAATCTCTAGGTGTACAAGGTTACATGCACACAGAGACTTTACCTGTTGGTCTTGCGTTGTGGGAGTAACAACAGAGGCAGAGGAGGCTGGCAGGTTAAGAAGCTGAGCAGCAGCAGATGAGGCAGGAATTGAATCTGACTGTGGGGACTCGTCAGTGTAGGGAGTGGGAGCCACGGCAGGCTGGCCCTGTGAAGTACCCACTGACCCTACAGACCCACCAACTACGTCATCTCCGGGTAGTTGCTTGCTTTCTACCACAGGACTCACCAGGAAGCGAGATTTTCTGAAAGCCTGTGACCAGAAGCCAATACTATCAGCCAAGAATTATATTAGCAGGAAAGCTGCACAGTGGCCAGCTCTTATCAAGATAGATTTACAGCACCTCAGAGAAGAATGAGTGAGTGAAGCCCCCTTTTGTGCTCGTCCTAGGAGTCACAGATTGTTTGTTATGTGACATGGATATGCTTTGCATCTGTTTTGAGATTGGCTGCTTACACAGGTGAGATTTTCTTTTACTGAATTTATCATCATCATTATTTGTTTCTATCTCAACTATTTATTTCTTGGGTAATACTTTGTTATTAATTTATTGTTTTGGATATCCAGCACTTACTCTAGGGTGAAAACTGAATAAAAATGAAGTATAGTTCCTTAAAATCAACAAAACTGAAATATGCATGAAATATGTAAATGAAAATAAAAAACAAATGAGTTAAAAAGAGACCTCAGTTTCTCAGTAGACAAAGTCAGAGAGAAAGAAATGTCCAAATGAAAAGCATAGCTGTAAGATAAATAGATATGAAGAAAAACCATAGAGACTATGAACACTAAAATACTTACAAATACTACTGGAAAGCTCACAAATATCGATGATAACTTCATACTGTGCACCCATACATAAAATGGGACAAGATAAAACAACCTACACTCTGACACACTCACATACAACCAAAAGGACGGCATGTAAGTAAACTGATGTCTATTTATAAAACATATGTAACTGTATAAATATATACTAACACCCACTCACACAGAGCTAACACTTTGTATGACTTATACACATATAATGTATATACACTAAATAAAAGTCTATACCATGCATGTGAAAGAAGGTATATAAGAATAATCTTTGCATACGAAAACTTGTCAAACAGCAATATTCCAAGTCAAATAATATTCATAAATTTTCTTATTCAACACTTGGGTAGAAATCACAACAGGTCTGAGAACTTTCTTTGACAAATCTAAGAACAAATTTCTGAGCCTGTGATCTTTCGTGAATACTGCCCTTAGTTCTTTTATTGGTTAAGTATTTTTTTCAAATGATCAGAAAATTCAAGTTATTTTTCAACTACTAAAGTTATTTTTAAGAAATGAAGGATAAACATTTTTTTCTGGATTGCCTTTGAATAGTTTTGGAATAATTTGAAACAAATTTTCTCAAAAAAAATTTCAGGAACCAAAACTAACATGTGTAACAAGTACCAAGAGAGAAATACGAGTGTATAACTACAAAATGGAAAATAGCTATATAGATGCAAAGAAAATAATACACAAAAACAGCACAAATACACAACCATAAATAAAGCACATGTACATATATACAAATACATATACACTGACAATCAGGCAGGCAGACCAAGATACTGGGACAGGCATACACAAGCATACACACAACACACACTGACACAAACACTGACACACACTGAAACACACACCACACACACACACACACACACATACACACACACACACACACACACACACAACACACACACACACACAACACACACACACACACACAACACACACACACAACACACAAACCTGTGGCTGCTGTGGTGCAGGCTGAGTCGAAGTGGCTGACTGCTGTGGAGCACACACTGCGGCTGGAGTAACTACTGCCTGCTGCTGCTGAGGAGTCTGCTGAGTCTGCTGTTGCTGCTGTTGTTCCTGTTGTGTCTGAGTGGGTTGTGGCTGCCGCACAGGGCTTGTCTGCACTTGAGGGGATGATTCCCTTCCTTCAACCTGCTTGCTTGGGGTTCCTGGGGCACTGTCCCCACCTCCCTCCTCTCGGTGCTGTAGTGGATGTACAAAAGCACTCGGTTAGGCATGGCAAGTGCATAGGGTTGCCATTCGGCCAATCAAAACAGAAAACAGAGAACACAAGAAAAGATTTGAAAAGAAAGAAATAAGAAATGGAATATAATTGAATAACCTTGCAAAATGCTTTTTGCAAATTCCAAATGCTGCCCTCCTGATTCACCCACAATTAGCTTGTAGCCATTTCAATTTTACTGAATAAATCATTTTGGCATTAACATGAAATTAATAAATCAAGAATTAATATACATTGAAAATTATCACTGATATGCTATGATATGCAAGGGCAAAATATCCAAGAAATAAACAAAGGAAATTAATAACAGACAGAAGTTTATCATAAAATAAAATAACTGTATATAAGACAAATGTAACATAAAAACATGATTACTAATGAATAAAAAAATTACAAAATAAATACATACATTGCATTTTTTTGGTTGACTTTTTTTTTTTTTACATCTTTAATCCAAGGATATAAATATATATATCGAAATCTGACACAAACATGATTCATATATATTTACTTATGAAAACTTACAAGTAGTAGTAAAAAGTTACTTCACATAGAAAATAATGCGATCACATGTCTTCAGTTTCTGAATTATGACATGATTTTAAGCAAAGTATATTCAGAAATTGGTAAACTGGGCAGCAAAACCATAGTCTACTCGCTAAAGAATCCAGCCAAACAAAAGAGAAAACTATTAACAAATAATTAATTAAATAAAAAAAGCATTGAATGAGACTTTTCCTATGATATCATTAAAATCAAATGTTTTTATGCTATAGGTAAAATCTGTGAAATATAATAAAACGTGTGAAATATAAACCATAATAGCATAAGCCTAGGATTGCATAGACTGTGCTCTCTAGAGGGATAAAAATAATAATACAGAAAAATTATGGATAAAAAATGAAGAAAAAAAATCTAACATCACTACAAAAATGTGCTATCAAATTGTCATTCACATCAAAAATGGTGAAAAAAGTAGATGTGGTAGTAGAGAGAGAGAGAGAGAAAGAGAGAAAGAAGAAGAAATAATATATATAAATCTCTTCTTGACGTTGCATTCTGTCTCAAAGTCTGAAGCTCCAAGTATAGGGAAATGCTAATGCTAAGTAACAAAACCATGAATAGTACCAATGCGAGTGGCAGAGGCAGGATGGGCGCTCCGGAAGACCATAAGGAAGTCAAGCCAGGCTCCACGTACTTGTCATGGCAGTGATAAAATATATTGTAATTCATTTCCCTCAAAAGAAATTACACACGGAGTTATAGACAGGCAACAATGGCAAAGCTCTGCCAGTAACAGTTTGCATTTACATGAATACAAGAACATTGTTTAACCTTTATATTCCCAAGAAAAACATAATTTTAGACAAAAATAAATGTATAAAGAAATAGAAAAAAAAAGAAAAATGAATAAAATAAAATAACATAAATAAAAAAAAGGATTGAACCAACCACTATCCTCCAAAAAATAAAGCAAAGGTTAATATTAAAAAAGTGCATTTCTTGAAAATGTTTAGAATGGTTGAAGCTACCATCAGCTTGCAATTATCCTTGAAGCAATCTCCATTTTATTCAATCTAACATTGCATATATATATGTGTATAGACTATTTATCTAATACAAGCACACAGCAGCTTTGTATCTTTAGTTTGGTTTATTCAAGTTAGGATTTTTAAATTTTTAATCAGTTCTTATTTTGATTCTATTCATCTTTAAGGGTTTATTTGCATGCAAGGAACAGTGAAAGAAATGGAAATGAACTAGACTGGATGTGAATAGATGCAGAAGGAATAATAGTTTCTATACAATAGTACAAAATTAAAAATGGGACTTATGAAAAATTTATTTCCAATTACCCTATGATTTTTTGTCAGTTTACCAACTGCTATTTACATTCCAGATAAAAGATATTTTGCATGGGTTAAATCTGAATACTATTGTTTCATCAAACATTCACTTAAATAATACAATTCTGTGCTTCTTTTTGTAAGGGATACACAGTTCAATATAGAAGTTAAAAATTAAACTATTCAATATAAAATTCTCCTGTACAACTTAGCCTAAGGAACTAAAAGAAAAGAAAAAGAAATCTTAAACAACTGATTAAAATAATAAAGAAAACTGGTGTCAAAACATACTTCTACAATTTCAATATATTGAGCTAAATTATTGCAACTTGTTACAAACCATGACAGTAGAAATTCCGAACTTAACACTCTGGTGACATAATGAAAGGATTATCTAAATCAAAAATATCAAGCTGGAAAGAATCACCTGACAAAACATGTAAACAGTATGTATACACAGACTCTAAAGACTTATGTTATAAGGGTTTCATCTACAAAGACTAAATATCTGTTCAAAGCAAGTCCCCTTTTGACACACAATACATACAGTAAACTTAGATCCTCTACTTGCAGATACTACAGTGAAATTAAGATTAATTTCCTTTTCACCAGGAACTAATGAATCTTATCATACTGACACCAGAACTCCCACTGAATTTCTCTGTTGCATCCTGCTGACTGGACATACTAGGAGTTGTTTCTTCTTCATAGCATCATTCTATTAACATATAATTAATATCATTCTGGGAATGACTTTGCAGAGCTGACAATGGTACTAAACAGAAGCACACATTTCAAAAGAATTTTGAAATATCAAATAGAAACATGGGTTACAGTATTTCTATGGTATCTATATCACCTCACTAACACAGATAAGAATAGCAGAGCTTATACAATGCATTACCATCATCATCCGAGACATACAAATAAGTGTACTTAACATATATTAGGTTGTTTTTCAATGATGTTTTATGACAAAACTTACAATTACAAAACCACATTACACTGATATAAAAAAGGTATGAGTTTCTCAATGAAGCCTCTACCTAAATAATTGTTATGCCTATCTTCTCAGCAAATGCTGCCATCCTGTGTACAAATACAGAAGGTAAAAAGGAGATACAAAGACCTGCTTATGTTATTCATATGTTTTCTCTCATTTTTCAAAGGAGACGACAATGATACAATGGTGATGATGATAATGGTAGAGCTAGAATAAAACTATTGAATATCTAAAAAGTGCTTTTGATATATTTCTTGTGAAAAAGCTAAAAAAAAGGGGAAAAAGCATCCAACAAGACTGGAATGTCTAATAAGCTACAGCAAAATATGTAATCATCATTTTCTCTCCTCCCTTCTAAACGTCTCTAACCATCATTTATTTACTGACTGCAAAATGCACTATCTTCTAGTGAAGATGCATTTTTTAAAATGCAAAACTGATGTAGCCTACATCATCTGTTGTGCCTGAATTATCTAGGCATGAAAAGGATAACACACTGGATGCATTTCACTTTTCAGACAGCCACAGAGAGCTTATTCATTCACAGATTCTTTATCCTACATTAATGCTAGCTCTGCATTCGTCTCTAATCTACTACAGTGACTGCTGGATGACCCCTGATTCTAGAACAGTTGTGTGAAGTATTTGATGTATGCACGGGAGAGTATTTATCCGTTAATTTTCTTCTTACTTGTACAAACAATTATGGTAGTATATAAATATATATTGGTGTACACATACCAAAAGGCAACGTAGAAACAAATACACATTAACACAAACACACACACACACACAAACACACACACACACAAGTAAGCACCAGACACACAAAAAGATATAGGTGTAATACATATATTGTATGTTTAATCTTATCTGGTACTGAACATGCAAAGAAATTAGAAATGCCTTCAATGTGTTTTAAATCTCACACTAAACACAATAGTTATAATAATCCACACACAACGGAATCATAATTTCAATGGAGGCTTTTTCACCTTCCTAGTGGAAATCTAACACTTTTAGAGAGGGAAAGGCAAACATAAAAATCAGAGGAATAAAAAGGTGCTATATATGTTAGGAAATAACACATATGGGTGTAAATCATAAACACTATCACACCAAAGTGGATCATGGTGATACAAGATGCAGATTGTTTTGCTTATATTGGGGAAGGCCTGGGTAAGAAACAACTAAAGGTGTGTGGAGGAGGTATGTGTGTAAAGAAAACAAAGAAGAAAAGGAAATATACAGAGAAAGAGATAGAGAAAGAATATGTATAGCTATATGGGGATTTCAAGATAATGAAAGTTTTTATGATATGAAGTTTTCTTCAACTAAACATAAAGACTTCAAGTATATAAATAATATTTAATCCCTTATTATCCATCCTCACATCAATTACGATACTAGTCCTAGACATAAGAACATAATGAAATGAAAAACAGATTACAACAGCTGTCATTAAGAAAAAAGAAAACAATAATCACATAACTTTTGGCAACTGTGTTCTTTGGTTTCGATCATCAGTCTGAATGCTCTCTGTTTAGGCATAACTACTGGAACACTAAAATCCTTTCATCCATCTTTAAAGGCAAATCCTAACAGCTATTTATGGGAAGCTACAGTGAGTGCAATAAGTGTTAAAGGAGACGTGAGGAGTGAGGCAAGGAAGCACACGAGCACTCTTGACCAGCTTAGTCTTGGGTGATTAATCGTCTCGCGTTGGCCTGCAGACCCCAGCAGTTGAGGCCACACGAGGTGAGGGTCATCTACGCACAGCCCTCAACATAAGCTGGAACTGTGTGATGAGAGCACCGCACCGCGGTGTGACCAACCAAGGGGGCAGGGCATCCGTCTGGCCAACAGAGATGTCACTATAGCCACCAGTCATGCTCTTCAGTAAATATCTAGATAGCATTCTCAGTTTGCTGACACAAATCCAGTCGTTTCTTCCAACAGTTACTTACTGAGCTGTGTCGTCGTCGCCGTTTAGGGGAGGACCGACTCAGCTTCCTGGCAGGTAGGAGCTAGCTTCACGCCGCACAAAATAAATGATACAAACCACTGATATGAGCCACAACAACCATACAGCCAAAGGGTCTTTCGCGACCTCAAGCAATCCTCTAGAGAAACGGCCGCCACCCAGAGTCAAGGGGGGGCTACTAATGCATGCCATAATAAATCATAAATGGAAATCATATAAACTTTTAAAGGAAATATGATGTAATTATTATCATAAAAAATAAAGTTTTATAATCAATACTTTTTGTTCTCTTACCTGCCTGAAATCACAAAAACAATCAAAACCAAAATTAGAAAAATTTTCACAATGCTAACCCACTTTCACACAATCAATATAATAAAAGCTATACCTTTTACAAATAAATTAAAATACCAGAAGCAGAACACTGAACATTAAAGATTTGATTTTTTGACCTGTGACCTTTCTGTCAAAAGATATATTATTCAAATGTTGTTCTATTATGAAAAAAAAAGCTTGTAAACAACACTAGATGACAATCTATTTCTCCTTTTAAACAAGCAAACAAACAATAATATGTAAAGCTATCTTTCCATTCTATTTTTCTACACATTAAAAAAAAGAGGAAGCATTACTTCATTCATATCCATCTCAGAATTATGCCTTCTTGCCTCACAGTTTTAGAACAAGTCTTTCTTCCCTTAATTTCCTTTCAAGGGGATGAACATCAAGAACTGTATGAAGCACTAAAGGTTGAGACATTTTTAACATGGTTTCTATTTCGAGCTGTTTTCATAATGCTATCTTCCAATAATGCAATGTTTATTTGAATATGTTCAGTTTTAACATATTCATCATATTTTTATATCCTTCTTTTCTTACTAACAAATTCCTCTTGAAGAGAAAAGCATGAACTTTTGGCAACTTCACCACACACCTAATAACTGCAACATACATCATGCAATTGAAAGCATGTAGCTGCAACCTACAACCTAAAAAACTTCTTTTTACATCAAGTATACTACATAATACTACCACATGACAAGTAATGTGAAGTGAAACAAAGTGGTATTACTACAAAAGTTTTTGATCCATGTGATAGGGTTAGCAGTCCCTTGCCATCACCTGTAAAGCTACACTTGGGAGGGTAAGCTAGAAAATTCAATTGCCAAGTTTTGAGTTAAGTATCAGTATGTTGTTATTTGCTTTTACATTGCAGATACAGGAAAATGACTAATCTCTCACCAGAGTCAGAAACTCATATGTAGCTGAGAAGACTGGCAGCAGCTGTACAAAGATTTCTCCTTTTGAGAAATATTGCAACAGGACATAATAGATGCATAAGAAAAAATGCAGAACCTGACTATTCACAAAAAAACAGTTACCTTCGGATAATACGTACATGATTAAATAACTAAACGACAACAAGTAACAATGGGTTGCATTTCCTGTGCATTATCTAAATTCAGATCAGCATCTCTTCACTTCAATACACTCTAACACATTTCATACATTGTTTTCAAAATGCTAAAGATGATCACCTATGGACTTCATAATAACCCTCTTGTCAGATATATCCTCTAAACCTTGGTGGCAATCATTCTTTTAATGGATGATGCAAACAATGACACATCAGCAAAACTATATAAAAAAAAAATATGATCTAATGAACAAGAACATCAATAACAGCAAAAATAAATACTGATCCATAAGCAAATTCAAAACTTGGGGGACATGTAAAATCATCAACACTTTCCTTCCTTTTCAGTACTTTATTTATAGATTGTATATTTGTAATGCCATACAATCCCCTTGTTTCATCAAAACTAGTCAAATGTTTTGCAAGACTTTTTTCGTTATGGATAACCAAATTTTCTACTTAATCTCTTATACTTGCTTTCTCTTAAAAAATGAAAGCACTGATTAATGAACTTTTTCTAAATGAATAAATAATTAAGCAATATATACTATATATATATATATATGTACATATATATATATTATTATTTATATATATATATATATATATTTAATTTATATATATAATATATTATACATATATATACATATATATTATACTATATATATTATATATATATATATATATATATATATATATATATATATACATATAATATCTATTATACATATATATACATATATATACATAATATATACATTATAATATATATATATATATATATAATATATACATATATATACATTATATATATATATATATAATATATATATATATATATATATATATATATATAATATATACTATATATATATATATATGTATAATATATATATATATATAATATTATATATATATATATATATATATTATAATATATATATATTATATATATATATATAATATATATATATATATATATATATATATATATATTATATATATACATATATATATATACATATACATATAACATTATATACATATACATATATACATATACATATACATATACATATACATATAATATATATATATATATATATATATCTATATATATATATATTATATATATATATATCTAATATTATATATATATATATTATATATATGTACACTACAGGGAAAGCTGATACTAAAAGGTAAAATACTGGGTAAATTTACAATGAATATAAGTGAAAAGTGATTTCCTCCTTACTGGCTATGTGCTCACAAAATTACTGGATATATGCAAGCACATGATAAAAGGCATTAATAAAGTTTTCCTGTTAAAACTAGGTCAAGGAGAATGATATCGATTGAGAAAAAATTAAAAACAGTTCAGTGTCTTCAAACTTCATTAATTTCTTGCCAACTAGTAGTTATTCAAAACTTCATACTCGTTTCTGCGTCAATCTACTCCTTAGGTAAATACCCACTGTACACATTTGTTTCTATATCTATGCCTCATCTATACTGTCTTTTTTCCACAATATTATCCTAAATATAAAAGTCTGTATTCTGTCTCTCAAGCATATCTTTTTTCATTCACTCAAAACTCGATATTCTTTTCTTTCTCCTATCTATAAATCATATCCAGTACATAAGACTAAATCTACAGCACAAGTCCAACTTCTCTAGTAATTTACCGGTTCAAAACATCCATCAATCACCAGTAATTCCCTCTCTTCAATGTCTATCTAATAATAATATCTAATAATCAACTGGTAACATTTCTTAGCAATGGACATTAAATTGATTAGTAAAATCTTAGATTCAAAACCAGTTTCCTTTCATACTGACACAATATGTAAAAACTGCTACAACATTTTTGTGCACACTCTTCTGACAAAAAACAAAGTGTTAATAAAATCATGACAGCTATACAACATAAAGCCTCAGAAAAGTTAAGTGACATCAAATCACATGTTCCCCTAAACAATGTCAAAGGAGGATTCGAGTAATTAATGTAAAAAGTACAGGAAGATAATATCATCTGACTTTTCTTGACCGACACCTGAAAAGCTAATAACCACTAGCCAATATACATATATGACATAAACTCTGGCAAGCACATAATTATTACCAAAACAAAAATCCCTCCAAGTAAAACTGAATCAAAAAGATTTTAAGAATACTGACCCGTGCTTCAGGATCGTCCCTGTGGCGTCGAGAGGCCGAGGGGGAGCGTGTGTGGCCATCCTGTGAGTGATGCTGACTTCTGGAGTCGAGCCCTGGAGTGGACACGACTGGGAGAACATTGGGGTTGGCCTGAAGCTGTCTGATGATGTCTTCTATGTAATTGATCACAACTTCAGCATGGTTTACAGGTAGGAGATTAGTCATTACCTGAAATATGATAGAGCATAACAGTGAGGGAACAGCAAAGGTAAATAATAAACACTATAATTGTTTGCAAGAAAAATTGGAAAAATACAGTAAACCTTTAATTTATGCAATATATAAAATAAAGAGAGAGAGAGAGCAAAAAAAATTACCAGTTTGTTGGCTACATCTTGAGGTCATTATCAGTTATGTCAAACTTGAAGGTGATGGTCTTCTGCTTTATAGTCTCTAGCTGACACTCGACCATGGTTTCCGTCACGCTCAGGACAGTTAGTTTGGGGAAGCGGTCGAGTGTCTTCTTGCGAATCTTCTTGCGCTCCATGTGGTGGCGGCTGGAGGAGCCATCAGCCGGGTGCTCGCTGCACTCCGACTCGGAGGCGGCGCTGGGGTCAAATGGAGGGTGAGTGGAGGATGTGATGGTGGTGTTGTTGGAGGAGGAGGACATGGTGGTGGTGATGGTGGAGGAGGTGTTGTGCTGGTGAGGGAGTTGTTGGAGATGGCTTGCGTCTCCAGACCAACGCCACCAGGCCTTCTCAGAGACATGGAAAGAATAAATTTCAATGTTTCAGGTATTCCACTTCACTTGAAAAACCAAAAGATCAGTACTTACCGCTTGATAAACACCATGTCATGCATTGATTAGAATCTTACACTTCATTTCACTGACAATCAGCAGACTGTTTGGCAGGGATTTCAAATGAACAAGAAGCTAAAGCAGCATTGTCAGCTAAAAAAAAATGTATAGGTATTCTCTACTGAAAAGCACACATTTGGAAATTTGCTTTTGTTACTGAAAAAATAAAATAAAATAAAAATAAATGTAAAAATAAAAAATAAAAAAGACTGTATCTTCTCTATGAAAAATCATGTTAAACTCAAAAATAAGCATAGCATGGCACAATAAACAGTTAAGATTCACCACATAAATCATCCATTATTTCTAAACTGGACTAAACAGAACATAAAATGGCTATTTGAAACCCTCACTAAGTAACCAAAAAAGCAGGGTACACTGAGAGGCAACATGTAAAAAACTGTTAAATCTGTGTGAAAACTGCAATGACAAATACATGTACAAATGCCCTTCTTATTTACACTGTCAGGATACAATCTTAAAGTTAAACCTTGAACGAAACAGCAGTAAATTAAGTTTTAACTAAGTAAAAATTCTGAAAAAAACAACAACTAAGGATTCCTTAAAAGTGAGAGTATCTCAACATCTCAGAATTTCAATACACATTCTTAACAAACCCTTTTACCTGTTGAGTCTGTTGAGTCTAATCATAAAGAATGGAGACAAAGTAAGTAAATCTAAATCTGGAAGAACCACCTATTACAAACTTAAAATTATCACACTCTTTCAAATTGTATCCAATGACACTTAACAGTATTCCCGAGTTAATGCCAAGACACAAACTGAAGCTTGGTTAGGACCCTTTCACATGACCTAACCCGTTTGGCCTTTTTGCTCTGATACCATGTGTTTTGTTGTAAGGTGAAATATCATTGCATAAAATGGGACTGTATAACATGCCATTCTGGGTCAAAAGCATTCAAAGCTCACCAGAATCTCTGACAAGGAATTAGCTTGCTGACATTTACAATGAAATAATAATAATAATTATAAAAAACAATAATAATGAACAATAATAAAAAAAAAAAAAAAAAAAAATGCCATGGAAAATCAGCATTCCTAGAAGGCACATTCAGAGATTAATCTAACAGCAGGCCATGACAGGCAGACAGAGAGAGCATTACAGCTGTCTCAAGACCTCTTCCTTACCTGTCATTGAGGAGGTGTGAGTAGGTGTCTGCGAGGATCTGTGGTGAAAGAACTCTCCAGCTGTGGGGGAAATATCGAAATGTTAAACACATGTTGTGAAACAATTTTGGTTTTAGGCCTAATCCTCAATATCACATCACAGGACCTTTACTTTAATATCACTTATCAATCTAATATGTTATATTTTTATCAGTTGGATTTACTGAAAGTAGAAAGGAAACTTTAATCAACAAATGCAACTTTTTATATCATAATTCAAGCTATCATCAATGTTACACTGAATATTTAACATTTAACATTGGCAATAGTACTAATAAAGCAAGTCCATATTACATATATATATCAAATAATCTAATGCTATAAGCACAAATAATGGAAACTTCTCTCATGGAATTTCCTTCTGGCAACACAAAGCCATTTACTATGTAATAATACGACACAAAGCATCCTTCACTAAAGAAAAATATATGAGACTGTAATGTTCATGCATATGTGTGTATATGTGAGTGTATGTGACTATGTAAGTTTGAGTATGTGTTATTTTTTGAACCTGTGATCTTATATGTACAGTGTATGAGTGTAAGAGGAGAGGCATGTTCTTGTGTGTGCTGATGTAAGTGCATGCAATTGTGCTGATGTGTGTCTCAGGTGCACCTTGTCTGGTAGTATCTCCAAAAACAAAGATGTTTAAAAATTCCTTAAAGATTAGCTGTAAACACATCATACTATAAGACAACCATATAAATTAGCAGAGTAAAAAATATAAGCAGGCATGTGATATTTGAAACCAAAAAGCAGTAAACACTAAGGAAACATAAGGAATTTCACAATTACATAATAAAATCAGCAAAATAATAGTATAAAAGGTATGTAATATATTTCTCAATACAGGACAAGGATCTTGAGGTACTTCAT